AGCATTAGTAAAGTTTGATCGCAACTCCAAGGTATGTAATCCAGTACTTCATACTAACCTTTTAACCTTATGTATAAAAATGTTAAAGTGCTTCTCTATTCGGTGGATATAATCCATATCTAGTCTTAAGCTTACCTAATCATTCCTCCATTTTTATAAAATGTGCTTAAATAATGCAATTGCTTTTCTGTTGCTACCTAATTTCTTAACTATTGGTCAGATGCCTTGTTCTCTTTGAGAACTCATTTTATACCAAAAATGGTGCAAACTTCACTTTGTGCGACACTAATGCAACTTTTTGGTTTGCCTAATTAAATTCGCTCTTGAATTTAGCTCATCAGTTTGAACTCATTATTAGATCTTATAAGAGTTTCATGCTTCATTCTTCTAGTTACACTTATTAATCTTGCCTTAAATGCGTAAACACTTTGTGCATATTTATAGTACATAATTTTAGGCATCTGCAGGTATTTTTCAATGCACTTAAATTCATTTTATCGCTATTTCCTACACTTGTGAGTCCTAATTTATACTCATTTATCTATCACCTTTTGCATACATCTTACTGAATATGCATAGTTCGGATCGTGGCCTGATGCGAACCCTACCTCTGCCTATCTTTCATATATTCGATTTTGAGTAGAATGAGGTTTGATTATGCGAAGAAAATTGCTGAATAATATGACACTCAGATCAACGTGCTCAGGGTCGCAGGTTGAGAAAGCTAGCGTGGGTTGTGAAGAAGTCGCATGAAATCCGCTCAAAAGAGCACATCATACCACATTTCAATAAGCAATTAAGAAATTGTTATAGTCAAGGGGTGGTACGAGGATATAGGATAGGTGAATAGTCCATGAGAGAAGAGGAGATATCACAACTGTTTAGCAGACAATTGGTCAAAGGATCGACTACTTGTCTCTGACGAGTTGTAGTGTGGTGCTAAGAGTCTGCTATATTGTTACGCGGTTCTCCTTCCATATGTCTTACCACAGTCTCTCTTTCTCCTATGATCCGTCTACTCTCTCCCTGGTTCACATATTTCACTCGAGTCCTGCCACCCCATCTGTGCCACTCGAGGCGTTATTGGCTATACCCTGCCTCTGTGTGACTAATTCGAGGCTCAAGCCTGTGAGTAAGTGTCATGGTCACGCCTTCGCCACATGGACCACGTCTCTTATACAAACTACTGTCAGCCCACTAGCTTCCATCGCCTTGGTTAGGTTCTATTTTGAACCACAACGTTTGTGGGTTGGCGCACAAAAGACTAGGGCATGGGAGGTCATAGCCTTGGTATTAGAGATATAAACAGGATAGACGCGGCGGCAATGGGAGCTAGTGGGCTGACAGTAGTTTCTTTAAGAGACGTGGTCCATGCGGCAAAGGCCTGACCATGACTCAGAGGCTTGAGTCTCGAATTAGTCACCCAGACGCAAGGTATATCCAATAATGCCTCGAGTGGCACAGATAATAAATATATAAATAAATATATTTATATATAAATAATTTTTTACGTAAAGGAAATGCATGAAAGCCAAATAAGTCACATTTGGGCGCGTATCCCTCTTTATTGTAATTTGTTAAGTCTAGTTAAATAATCTTTCTATTTTTTTGTTGTCGAATAATTTCTAACGCATTTATCATAATATCTGTATTTGTAGCTCCTCATGCAATTTTTTTGATGTATCTATCATATCGAAACGCAACCATAACAAGTACAGCATATAGTTTATATTTTTCAAAATTTCCACTGGCATATCTTGAGTTTTGCTGAAGTTCTTTATCCTTTTTGGTTCATCTTACCTTTCCCTAATCCTGTTTTTGTAGAGCTCATCTGACCGAAGCTTTCAGGCTGCCATCAAAGTCCTGGGTGATATGTTAGAAGCTATCCTGGGCGCTGTGTTCATTGATTCAAACGGCGATGACAAAATCCTGCAAGCTGTTGTATGGAATCTTTTCTCGTCACTCTCTTGTGTGTACCACACCTATTCTCCTACCTTTTTCTTACTAGCGACTTACTCCCAATCGTTATCTATACATTCTGGCCCACTATTTCTTTTTGCTATCTACAAACCTTTCTAAGTGTATACTTTTTAAGGACAGAATAGTGGGAATTCGACATGTCTTCCATATGCTTTGATAACAGTTACAGTCCTTATCTGATACAGCCACATTGGGTTCGATGAGCATTACTACTCAGCTGTAGCTCCAGAACGCTTGAGGAACGTGCCTAGTACTGCGCTCTGTCACAGTAGTCACAATAATCTTCAGCATCGGACCATTGATACATTACTTGATGTTTCGTTACTAGCCTCAGTGATAAGAGCCAGCATCAGCGTCGAGTTACAACTTATCAACGTGATATCAGAAGGGAATACTCTTGAACAATTTTCTATTAAACGGTCGTGGCATCTCCATTTCACTTCACCTGTTCTAGCTAGGTCTTTTCATAATTACGACCAAATTGAGAAAATTAAGTCACCAACTATATACAGTGATAGAAAAATATGATCAAACCAAAGGCCATAGTTTATTGACCTTCGTATATACAATCATAACTTTAGTCCTAAATAATAACGATATGTAATTGTATTTTACCTCTGTTTTGGTGCGAAGTAAAATATTCTTTAAGATTTTTCCCTTTGCTCAGTCATAATCGTTGCTTTACAGCTATACGAACTCATCTTCCAAAGAGAATTAATCGTTATAATCATAGCCTTCTTTTTCATTAAAAATGTATTCCTCTCGTTCACCAAGGTTCTTTATAGGTTTTTCTTATTCTATCGCCCCATAATGCATATCTTCTAGCTCATTTCCGGTCGAACGGGTTATTTACTTTCTTTCACTTTAAGTACAGCCTACATTAGATTTTTGTGCGTTTTTAGCGAGAATTTCTGGGAATCTTCCTGATAACTTGATTCGCACGATGCATTTGAACTTTCCCGCTTTGGAAATCGAGTAAGTAATATTTCTTTATTGATTGTTATTCTTCGGCTTATACTTTTAGCTTATTTTTTAATCTACTAAACTTCATCATTTTCTTCGCTCGACCAATGTTGCTGGCTCTTTTACTCAATATGCATAGACTTTCATAACTCTTTTTCTAAAGATGAATTTTATTTAGGCTTTTGCCTTAGCTTTATGAAATTCCCATTTTGTGTAGCTACACTCATCTTGTTCCCGCATCTTATTATATATATGGCCTTTCCAGAATTTTCCTATCCCAATTCCCTAGTCTGAATGACGGCGTATTTCGTAATATAGACTTATGATATTTTAAAGCATTGTTTTCTTTGTAATTTGAGTTTTTATAATTTTTATATTTTTATTGGATATTTTTGATATATTTGGCTGGGTTTGTAATCTTTTTCAGCGAGCATCTGATTATGGCTAGTATTTAGAAAAAAAGGCTTGATATATACCTAAGTATTAAAATGCACTGTAATAAAGGTTTTTTAATAAATAACGTTTCTCAACCTCCAAAATGTCCCCTAAATATGTCTTTAGATGATTCATGTGAAGTTAATGAATGGATAATTATTTTTACTCTCGATACGTGGCTTAGCAATGGATAATTATTTTTACTCTCGATACGTGGCTTAGCATAGTAGCGTTGAATTACTTTCAGATTCCAGTCTTATATTTTCTTTGAGTTGTGTTCACCCTATTTCGTTAGGGTGATGTAGGGTGTAGTTTAATCTTCCCACAATGATATAAGTAGAGCTAACGTTTATTTTATTATCTTTAGTTTATCGTCTAGTTTAGTTTATTTGGCTTATTATTGATTAATTTATTATCTTTTATTACCTAATTTATCACTTCATCATTAAGTTTTACTATCGGTTATGCTTATTAATCTCTCTAGTCACTTGGCTCTTTCGATTCTTATATTTTCCTTATCAATGTATTATTTTACAGAATACTAAACGATACTCAACTTTCGCTTAATGGGCTGCGGCAAATTTTTTTCTTTGACACCTTGGTTGAGAATAGTACAATATGCATGTTGTCGCATTCAGAGGTATTGGATTTGATGGCGAAATCCTCAGAGGACTACCTGTTACTAGCGCGCCTGCCATTCGTCGTGACACAACAACTTCAAGAAAACCTGGATCCTCAACAGAAGAACAATCAAAGTTTCGACATGACTGGGCGTGATAGTGCCTTTCTGGTTAGAGCAAATTCGCGATATGCGGCCAAGCTCGAACTTGCTCGCCAACTGGAACATTTTTCTATGAGCTAGCACTCAATTTGTTATACTTTATCTTTCCTCATACATCCTCTATATTTTCATATACTCTTGTTTATAACTGATATTTCTTGCTTTTACATAATTCTGTGACATTATTTTGTTTACATTCATTTTTAACTATTATAAAGAAGAGGCAATCAGACTAAAGTTGTCATTCAACATAAATGACATCAAAATGTTTCTCATAATCAACTTTTCGTCATAACTAGAGCGACAATCGTTCATATTGGAACTGCATATCTATAGTAGGCCAATGATACCTTACCTACCACCTTAATATCATGGACAATCTGGAATTTATAGTGGCTTGTTAGATCTAGTGATTATTACTGAACGCATGCGATTGCGAAAATAAGATTTGCGAATTCGGATGCGTGTTCTCTTGTGAAAAGCATCGATGCTAAAACCAAGGTGCCGACGGCATTAGCTGGTTTCATCTCCGCATTGGATAGTTTGCTCAGTTGCGCATGAGTAAGAAGGAAATTCAATCTTCGCCGGATACTACGGCCTAGCTGAGACTAGTTGTTGATGAGGATTCGCTCATCTCCACCTATTTATCGACTCCTCTCGTTGAGGTTCTAGCCTGTTCTTCCGGTAACTCGACCCATACAAAGAGGTTCTATTTAGAGCAAATTATGATGTGAAGTCGGACAGAAATATAGTATTTTTGGTATTTGTTTAACCTTGTTTTCGCAACTTGGTAATATCGACAGGAAGACATAGAGGAACGCACCTTGTCCGAAGTCCATAGTATGTATGATAATTTTCGGTATCGGGGCCTAGACTTGATACGTTTCCGGACTTTTCGCCAGCATCGTAGTTAGCATCGCCAGTGACCTTTGGCACTCTTAGCACCATACTACAACTCTTACTAGCTTTTTTGTTTTTGGTACTGCCTAGCTGTGTGCTATCCAGCTAATAATGAGAGCGCTGCAATTACCTGACCTCTTGTAGCTTTGGAGCTATGACATAACCCAGCCTTGTTTGTCACTCCTACCATTTAATGATTCTTTTTGCACATTGCCATGATACCTTAAAATTTAGTGATAAAGAATACAGGTGCTAGTCCCCACATGGTGCCCTCTACTTTTCTCCCTAACAATATGTTATTGCTGGGCCAGTGTTCTTCTCTCGAGGGTAAAACTTTTCAAGTCATTTAACTAGTTCCATATGAACTTCTTAGACTATCAGTGGTACATTCTAATCACATGTGCAGATATGAAATGGTGCTGCCTAGGTGCTACAACTCAAAGTATGAGACAATGTAGCTCCACATCTGCTTTGCTGACAAATTTAGGTGATTGCTCAGTGTATTAGTCTAACTCGTCTAATAGGTTATTAGCAGATATATTAAATGGCCAAGATGTCTTAAGGTCTAGGTCATTTAATTGTCTGAGAGCAATGTTTGATCATATTTACACTCATGGGAGCGACACTCGGACACTTGTCTTTTCATTAAGGATTAATTCTGTCGGTCGCACAATCCAATCGCGGAAAGCCTTTTATCTGCCACGGAGATATCGGTTTCGGGGAGTATCTTGGTTCATGCTTGTTGGGCTGTTGGTTGGTTTTGCTGGGGCATTCTTGTTGATGTTGTTTCAAGG